TGGAGCACGAACTTGAAACCCAGCAATTTACCTGTTCAGAATTTTCAATGCCTGCTTAGCTGCAATTGGCTGCATGGACATTATCCCTCACTTGCAGGCGCTGCTTCAGGGTAGTTGGCATTCATTCCATGGAGGACCTCAAAGATCATTTTCATGCACGTGGGTGTTTCGGCAATTTGGAAACTACTTGCAAATGAGCAGGATATGATTCTCCAGCGAGGAACTGCATCCGCAGGCCTGTGCCCTCAGACATTTGCGCACTGCACTTTTGCACTGATTGACGTGTCAGCCTGAAAGATCTGAAGGCTGAGGAGCAAGGACGCTACTAGGGGCTCCTGGCCATACTACTAGTAACAAGAAGCTATTAGAAACAAGACAAAGCCTTCTATGCTATGCATGGTGTTTCGCAGCTCACTCACCGTGCAATTCTGTTGATTCTCCGTAGTGCAGGTCAACTCGAAAGACTTACAGTATATACCGGTATATACTCTGCGTTTTCTATCTGGCTGGATCGATTTTGGCAATGTGAGTGTCACATGCAGCAGCAGGCAAGGCCACTGAGCTGCTGGAGGCATTCGAGGCACTCTTTGTGACACAATAACACAAGGCTATCATGTTAGTGATATGTTTCGGCCATAGTGCAAGTTACCATTTCGCAAACATGCACAGTACGTCACACACGCAACATGTGTGGCATGTGTATGTCACAGTGAGAATGTCACAGTAGTGATTGTACTGGACAATGTTCTCCGGCATATCCATACAGCAGGATGCAGGAGAAAGATATGCTGCACCTTAATGTGCTGCTACGGTATCATAGCTTCTTTCGTACGCTTTCGCCAGGTCCCCAATGTGGGCTCGCTTGGCTCCTTTGGCGCTTTGGCATGGGAGGTGCAGTGCCAAACACCCATTGATTGAATGTGCATGTTGCTCATTGCTGCAATTTTCTCTTTAAAAGACTCCAGATTCATTTGATGGATACACAGAAGCTCCGGGTCTCTAGAAACATGCCAGGGTGAATGAAATGCACCTCTCGACCTTCATCCATTTTCCACTCTTTGTGTTGGGGAGACCCTTCGATTCCTGGACTTTGTCAGCCACGCTGTGACATTGTTAGATCTGTTGAGGAATATAGAATATTTAATATTGCAGTATATGTTTTAAACCATTAGATTTTTGTTAAGGAGTCTTAGATGGTGCAGGATTTGTCCATCCGCTGTTTGGGGCAAAGCAATCGAGATGTGAACCTTATGCTTTTAGTTCACTCCGTTTGCTTCATTTGACGGAAACTCATCTCTCGACTGTCCTTGTCTAATTTGGCAAAATAGGTCACTTCAGCCACTTCAAGTGGCCAAAGTGACCGAAGTGGGCATCAGGTAGATTGATGTTGATTGAGAAGAGATACAACTCTAAGGCGCTTAAGATAAGGTCGGAGTGGCCGAAGAACGTTGGAGAAGAGATTCGAGGTTTAAGGAGAGAAGAGAGGTTTCAAGAGAGGAGAATCTGTCTGAAAGGCAAAATGCAATCCCGAACTTTAATGCAGGAACTTTAAACAACATTACCGATATCGCCTTGTCTCAGCTGAGAGAGGTAGTATCTTACAACATCCCAAAACCGACAGGTAGACTTCAAAGCGTCCAGGCGATTGACCAGGTTCCAACTGGTGCGTGGCATCGTTAATGGGGAGACGCCCAACCAATGAGTTTTTGGCCTTTGCAGTTTCATGCAGTCGACGACATGCAGTGATGGTTGGGTTTTGGTCTATTTTCCTTCTGCCAGGGGGTCGAACTGGGAGGTCTCCCTATTCTAATGCACACCCATTTGGAAAATGCTTGTTGAGTGATACTCCGATCCCCCAAGGGTTCTTCTGCAGAAAGTGCTGCTTCTCTAGACTGGTCGTGTAGAGGTGTAGAGAAACAGCACTTGGGCGACTTCTGAAGTTGAAAGCGAGGCGCTTGGCGCTTCTACATCTGCAAGATCGGGTGTTGTTGGTGTGCTACTTCAGACACTCTGCTTGTCTGGAGTCTGGAGTTGCACTTCTAGATTCTAGACGTGCAATAGGCGTTATTGATGTGTCATTTGCTCTCATCGCTGGGGTCATGCTTATATATGCATATTTTTCTTGGGGTCTTGCTACAGCGAAATACACATGCAAACATCCATCGTAGCATCTGAGTAGCTCACTTGCGCATGCGTAACGTACAGACCTCGTACCAATGTAGCACGCGCTCCGGCAGCTTCATGGGAGCTCCGGCTGGCCATTCAGTAATACAAATGCAGGAGTAGCGTTTGGGCTTCAGGCTCAGAACTGGCCATTTTGTAGCGCAAATGTCGGGGGCGGCTCAGACATGGCCAGTTTGTGGTATATTATGGTATATTAAATATAGTGTGCGGAGTAGCTTCTGGATCTTTTGGCTATCTTGTGCAAATGTAGTGCGCAGAGTAGCTTCTTGGGGCCCAGGCTCAGAACTCGCCACTTGTGCATCTCAAGTAGCATGGCATAGCGGCATAATATCATAGAATCATAGCATATCAGCAACGCCCAATCTCGCAGATGCCGAAGTGTCGCTCGTGGTATTTGCAACCAGTAACCATAGAAGAAGCCGATCTCAAGGACCAGGCTTGGAAGTCCGTGCACTTCTTTTATCTTCTTTTCCTTTTGATGTCCCTGACCCTCTTGGCCATGTCTGCTGCCTGCACCCTCTGGACCTCTTCGCCATTCGACAGGTACACGCCGCCTTTCCACATGTGTTGTCTCAACGCTCCCGGGCCACTCGTCGTCTCGTCGTATTCTTGCAGATGGCAATGCCGCCAGGAAGGAATGCTTGAGTAGGTGGTGTTGGGTTTTCCAAAACCAAAGAGTGGGAAAAAGGCTCCTTTTGGGAGGTCAGCGGTCAGCGGGTTGAGGTGGGATGCCAATATGTAGATGGACCAGAAGGCCTAAGTGCTCCTATCAGGAACAAATGAGGTATAAGGGCCTCGTTTCGTCAGGTAGGGCACATCACCAATTTTGGCTTGGTGTTCGAGGTCGAAACTTAGCTCGTTTCGGGCTCGTGAACTATCAACATGTACTCGGATTGCACGTGGTTTGGTCCGACTTTCCATCATTCAATTGCCAGCTTTACCTTGGCACTCTCCTCACTTCATTATGCTTCACCTGATCTCATTGTTTTCATATGTTTCACCTTTTTTACTTCGTTTATTTGACCAGTGGCTTCTTTACCTCCACCGTGCTTCACCTTGCTACGAACATCTTACCTTGATTGACGAAAAAGCTCTCCTGACCACTTTCACTTGACTTATATATATAATCTATGGTACAGGCGGTGTGCAATTATTCGGAATATTCCGCAAGAAACTGGCACGCAAGCGGCATATCTATATATATATACCGTAATTCGATAGTTACTTTTTTGTGTTGGAAGTCTTTCAAAAGAGACACCAAAATCCTAAAAATGAAATGAAGGCTTGTTTTTGTCACACAATTCTTGTGCTTTGTTTGGTCGACATTTTCGGCAAAGGTTTTCTCACACCCAGTCCAACAGAAGCACTCAGCAGTCGTGAACATCATCCCACAGATCCCTTGTCAAAGTGCGCAAACACCTTGGACAGTGGAACCCAAAACCCTTGGCTGGTTTCATACGAGCGCAGTTTCATTGCCTTGCGGACGGCAAATGAGGGTGCCAAAACGCATTGCAATAAATGCTTGGCAATGGCTGAATGCTGCTTTCTCTAGACGAGTAGCAGTCCTACACAGTTTCAGTTTCAGCAAACATTAACACACACACATCTACACCTTGAACTACGCGTAACTCTTGTGGCCGCGGCATCTCCCTCGTCACTGCTGATAGCAGTTTGCAGGCACGCATCTGCCAAGGTAGATACCTATTGTGACACGTGTCATTTGTTTGCAAATTTCTGTCTTAGTTGTTAGCAGTCCCCGGGTTATTACCAGTCGACACCAGACATCAGAAGCCACCAGAAATGGTCAGTAACAACGAGTCATTGCAAACCACAGCGAACTACCTCAGATCAGCAGGGCAGAGAAGCAGTGTCAGCATGAGTGATCAGCACACTTTCGATTTCTGAAGCTCACCACGATATATGATGATAATGATGATATATGACCACAGAGATCACAACGGCGAACGATCCCAAGTCTCAGAATCCACAACTCACCATCGGTGGCCAAAAATCCACAAAGCAAGTGAAAGCCTCACACAACTCACACAACCACGGGCGTTTGCTCCACAGATGAACAACCACCACAATTCCATACAATCCTTTTTTGTCATTTTTTGTCCGATATCCTTTCTTTACCCCCTTTTCCATATTGCAATTGCCGGTCAGAGTGTCGATTCCAATATCGAGGCCGTAGTTTGCCTTGTTGAACACTGATGCAATGATTAAAGCACAGGAAGCTTTGCCTTGCTTCATTTCCTCCCTTCGCAGGAAGCATGTACAAGGAAGGCAGCCTGTGTCGTTCTCGATGAAGAGGACCAGCCTCAGGCAGGACGTGACTCCTCGCTTACGGGAGCTTATATAATCTTTACATGTCTCACGCATGCATCCAGGGGCGCTTTCTGGGTTTCCCTGCCCTGCGCTATGAATACATGCGTCAAACACTTTCAAGCCTCTTGCTTCAGGCAGCTGCCATGGCAGCCAAGATCTGAGTGTCATTTCGGATCATGGCATGCTCGTTCACAAGTGATAACAGCATACAGTGCAGACATAGTGTAGAGTTGCATTTCCGGGGCGAGTGGATCAAGATCCCAGGAGATGTTGGATCTACTGTATCAGCTTGATTTTAATCTCTAGTGCCATACTCATTCTTCGAACATGATAGGCTGGCATTGAAGTCTCCTTTGCAACAGCATGTGTTCCAAAAGTTGTTTCGGCAGAACGATAACTGAAAAATGAGAGGCAAATGATTGAGATGCTACCCTGCAAAGAGGTGCACCTGTCTTTGCCCTCGGAATTGTTTCTAAAAATAGGAGCGAAGAGGTGCCGATCACAAAAGCCAGCAACTGCTTCATGCTGTCTCAAAGCAGCAATATTTAGTATATTGCTAGTGTACTAGTGGATGATAGTGGCGAGTTGCGTACCACAGCATACTTAGAACTGGAACTAGCTGCACAAGCACAAAGTTGATGAGCTGGCCAGCGCTTGAGATTTGAATTGCTCGGACATGACATACCACTTCTGTCCTCGTCCGCCGCCTGATCAGAGGGGTCAGCAGGGCAGTCCGAATCGGTGCATCAGAACATTTATTTGCTTGTGCATTGTTTGATTGTTTGCTTGTGCATTTGTCAAACTTGCGGGCCTCAACGTTTCTTAAGCGGTCGAACATGGCGCGCTCAAACAGTCTGCTCAGCCTCGCTGCAGCCAGTGTGGAGCGCTCAACCGTTAACCCGAATGTTTCTGTGCACTTAATGCGCAGCAACTATTGCAGACATTTGATCGAATGTGTGGTTGAGGTAGCGCTGCTTTGCCTCACAACTGGACCATTGAGCTTTCTTGTGCCCCAGTTTTGCAAACAGGCACAGCGCCACACCACGCAGTTTGAGGTACCAGACAGTCTAGCTGCAGCTGAACCCACCTTTTTTTTAATGTGGTTTTACTTTGTGTGTTCATTTGCCAACAGGCACAGACAACACTTTTGTCACCGGCTTCAGCTTCGACACAGGTGCTGATATTCTCTCAGCAAGCCGTTGAGAACTAGACACTCTAGATTGAGATGACTGCAGCCTCTTGTTTTTCGTTTCAGGGGTTCTACGCAAACGCCACATTGCAGAATACACTACCACTACAGCCGCACTGGGCAATTGCAACTTGTCAGCAGGAACAGTTTGTGGCTTTTGCATGCTTTTGCTGAATTGGCTCGGCGCACTTATGAAAGGATATATATATAACTATAAGTTGGCACGCCAGCAAGCCACATAGTCTTGTATGTAATTGATTGTAATATATTATAATTGTATATATAGTTATTACATGTTTCCATTGAATCAGCTGTGTTGTTGCTTTTCTTTTACGGGTGCTAACATAGGACTTGATAAATCTCAGAACATGTACTGTAGTCAATGTAGGGAGTGTTTTGCAACTTGTCCCGCAGCGAACAGGCTTCTGCACTTTTAGCAGCTTTGGCGACAAGGAAGCTCAACAAAGTGGGCAGAGCAGCCCAGGTGGGCTCGGTGTATTTCAGTGTGCATTTGTGGATTCACTCGCCAAAACTAGAAGAGACACTGCAAAGAAGTGCAAACATGCGTGATGTTACTTGTACGCGAGGCCAAGAAGCAAAAGCCCCTCCGTGACCAAGTTGCCCCGGAGAATGCCGATGCAGTGCGCGAGGAGACGCACGGTAATGAAGACAGAGAGCTCCAGGGTGTGTTGCAAGTTTTGCAGAGTGCGTTCGTCAAGATCTCAGCATGTTCCAGGATCGAAAGAAAGGCTCAAAGAATGTGAAGGGAGGTTCAAAGATGCAGAGGCAGAAGTTTGCACACTAGTAAACTAATCACTAGTAGACTCAAGTAAACTCATAAATTCTAGGAACCAAATCATTAGTGCGAGCGCTTCTTCAAGAAGCTCTCCCCGCCCTTCCTTGAAGAAGCGTGAGCTATCTTGCGTCCAGTTACTAGTAGCTACCTAGCTACTACTAGCTACCCCTCCCTACTAGCTACCTACCCTACCTCTACTAGCGGCCTACCCCCCCCTGGGGCTAAATATATATATATATAATATGTATGATCATACAAACGCTCCCCCCAAAAAATAGTTTGTTTTCTTCGCTGATCTTTCTTCGCCAGGTTTTTCAGCGTACGGAACCGCAAGTTCTGGGACTTCACTGTGTGGTGGGGCGCCCTGAGCTCCGCATACTCGAGCTCCGCAGCTCCGCCCTTGCGAATGCCTCAGAAAAGCCTGAGGGTCTTGCCTTGTGAATTCTAAGGCCTCGAACATACTTCAAACGTGTATGGGAGAAGAAGGACAGCCATCAAGCTCGGTAAGAGGTGAGTCAGCAGGAATGATGCGAGTACGTTTGGCAGCTTTGCTTGCCTCGACCAGTTCCCCAAGTAAAAGTGGATGATCAAAGTGTTTGGATGAGTGTTTCGCTTCACTGCAGGACTGGATGTATGCTGTAATTTTTGGCTACTTTGCAGCACTCAAGATTATGTAAACCAATGTATGTGTACAGAACCGGAGCGTGCGCACGCGCGCGGGTGTGTCTGTGTGTGGCCGAATCCTGATCTGGCTTCAGGCATCATTCATGCTGGCCATTGCCTGAGCACTGCAAGACTGGAGTGAAGCAGTAGTTTGCATTGTATGCAGTCTGGGCCCGCGCTGCCAGGTGCATTCATGGCACCTTGGTACTTTTCATGGGATGCCTTTGCAGTCTTCTTTTGTGGATATGTTGCTCAGAAGCACAGAAGCGAGTCCCTGCATGCCACAATGTGGCATTGTCATCCATTTTCTGTTGAGAACTCCTGAGAACCCCACAGAGGGGCCTTGGTAAGGGCAGGACGGCTATCATCATCTATCATCCACAAGTACTGGTATGTATGATTACATATATGATATAATAAGGAGGTTTGACAATGGCATAGTTGGTGGCTAAAGAATCAGGCAGACGCAGACATCAAGACAGTCGTGCACCTTTCAAGCTGTTCCGCATAAACATTTGGCAATATCTACAACAAGCGCAAGGTCATTACTGGTCTTGGCATCACGTTATCCTACCACCGTCAGCTCGCCCATCTTTCCTTCAAGACCCCGAAAGTCACTTGCCAGCAGGACTTTGTTCAAGCAGCGCTGTTGTGAGATGACCAACGTTCTCGCTGACACGGCCAAGGTGGTGGAATATATTCTGGCTTACTGTGGAGCCCTTGCAATGCAGAGCCATCCAATCAATTGGGTGTCTTCTCACCGACATCACCATGGAGCAACCGACCCATGGCAAGATATGCATAATTATATAATGATGACTCGTGATTCTCACGGGGAGTGTCACGGAGCAAACGTCAGTTTGCGGCTCAGGCCTCCCCCTTGGAAGGTGGTAGGGGGATCCCGCTGCGCCGCAATGGAGAGTGCTGCACAAGAGTTGGCGTTGTGCGGCACTCTGGCCGGGTTGACAGACCCGGATGTGGAGGCCTTGGTGGCACTGGGCTGGAGTGCCACCAAGCTCGCAACTCTGCGAGGATGCCGTGGCGAGATCTTGGATGGGATTCTCGCTGCGGCAAAGAAGAAGAGGGAGGCCTTCGAGGTCACGGTGGCCGATCTGCGTGAGCTGGTGAGGCAGTGCGACAACAGGTCGGCGAACATCCATCGAGCTGATGCTGGCCGAGGATCGCAGGAGCTACTAGAGGCTCATTTGGCAGATCAGCGAGCGAAGAGAAGGCGGACCTTCGAAGGCCTCGAGGAGAAGGAGGTGATCGAGAAGATCAAGATGGTGGGAAGTGCAAAGGTCACGAAGTGGCCAACCCGACTTGGGAAGAAGTTGCACATGGCCGGAACGGACTTGGCTTTGCGGGAGCTGGCCGAAAGGACAGAGCGAGACAGGTGGCTGTCCGAGCTTCGCGACATCATGAAGAGGGCCAAGCTCCCGGTGGTGGCACGTTCGAGTGAAGAATCACTCCTGCTCAGGATCGCCAAGGGCAGGCGACCTAACACATTGAGAAAGCATGTCAAAACTTGGCATAAGGTGGAGCAGTGGCTGCAGTCCACCTACAACTGGTCTTGGCCCACCTCGCCCACAGACTTCGCCGAGTACATCGAAGCTATCGTGCAAGAACCTTGCGCACGCTCTGCACCAGAGGCTGCCTACAAGACGCTCATGTTCTTGGAGTACGCGGGCGAGGTCAATGAGGCGGAGTTCATACATCGCTCGTCGGCGGTCAAGAACGCCATCGAGGAAGCTCACATGAGGCTGGCGTCTCGGGAGATCAGGCCATCACGGCAGGCGTTGCTCATCCCATTGGCCATTGTGGAGGCCATGGAGGAGATGGTGTTGTGTGATGACGCCAAGCCGTTCTCAAGAGCATACGCTTGGTTCCGCCTGGTCAAGATCTGGACTGGCATGCGCTTTGACGACACGAGGGGCACGCCAAACCGCGGCATTGAGCTGCGAGAGACACACCTGGTGGGAACCATCCACAAGTCCAAGACATCGGGGCCAGGCAAGCGCATCCTGCTGTTGCCCTTCTACGTCAGTAAGGAGGCTTGGGTGAGCAGGTACAACTGGCTGGAGGTTGGATGGAAGATTTGGACCCACATGGGCATGGAAGCGGGCATGTTGACCCGCGATTTTATGCTGGCCTGGCCCACGGCAGACAGGAGATCCTTTGTTCGGAGGATGGCGGACTACTCGACGGCATCCGCTATGTCCCAAGCTCTGTTTGGGGAACTGTGGGCTACCCAAGAGGGAAAGCGGGTGTCGCTGCTGTTCAATGGAATCGGCACGCTGTGGACAGAACACAGCGAACGTGCGACCATTAGGTCGTGGGCGGCCGCGGCCAGGATTCCGCCGGACATCAGACGACAGATGGGTCGCTGGCGACCGGCAGCAGATGAGTCCTATGAGCGGGTGGCAAGAGCCAACATCCTGAGGGCCCAAAAGGTCATCGCCTCGTTCCTTCGTGACAACAAAGGCAGGGGCGATCCTATGGACGAGGCGGCGGTCTACGAGGCCGTAGGGCTGCGCATGGGGCTGTTGGGCTATCCGGACGAAGCACTGGAAGAGCAGGCGGGCTTGCTGCATCGCTTTCAATCTGAGGAGCTAGCTGATGAAGCGAGCTGGAGGCCGAAGTGGACCCCATCAGGTCCAGTGGTGTTAGTGGAGCCCGATGATCCAGGCGACATCAACGATGCAGCGACGGACACAGGTGACGCTGGCTTCGAGTCCGAAGGGGAGCTGGAGCCAGTGGCAGGAGATGATGTGGTGCCGGCGGAGGCGTGGCAGGCAAGTTCGTGGTGTCCATAGTTGGGCGATCGCAAACGCGAACGCTGCATCGAGTAGGAGAGTGCCACCGAAGACCAGGTGAGCACTATGCACAGTTTGAGATTTTGGGAGATGAACCTCCCGACCCGAGCAAATACCATCGGGCATGCCAGAACTGCTTCGGCAAAGGGGCGGCCGTGGCAGGAAGCTCTCTGGAAGACGACAGTTCTGGAGAGGTGGACTCATCGGATTCGATGGAGTCGGAAGTTGAGGCATCGTCGTGAGACTCGCAGGACTCACGGTGAAAAGGGGGGAGAGATCTGCACAGAGGTGAAGTGTTCGGCATGCAGTTCGCACGAGAAAGCCGGGCACAGGCGAAGGAAGGCTTGCTGGTGCAGGCGAGAGGGAGTGCTAGAGCACGACAAAGAGTTGTGTGAGTTCTTGTGTTACCTCACTTGTTGCATGTGCATCGTGTTTCGAAGTCGGGCCGGTTGAGTTGAACTGACAGGTGGATGTGATTCATGATGGGGCTCCAGCCCGAGGGGGTCGGCCGTACCGGTAAGCGGGGGGGACCCTGTCTCGCGGGGGGGGGGAACGCGCCCTCGCGAGCACTCATGGCTGGGGCGGCTGGACCAGCAGCGGCGCCGGGGCCGGAGATCGGCCATGACACGCCGGCGAGGCGTGCGAACGCCATAGCGCTGCTGGACGCAGATCTTCATGGCTTGCTGCAGATCAAGGAGGTCAGCGAGACGATACAAGCCAAGCTGTCGGTGGCCAAGGTTCGTACAATCAGTCGGTTGAGTACAGTGGCCGACGACAGAGCTGCTATGAGGAAATTTTGCGCTGACGTCTTGGGCTTGGACGAGACGAACGACGTCATCGACATCGCTTCAATGGTGGATTCATGGGAGTCCTCGTCTACCAGGATGACGGTCAGGCACAAGGCCGAGGCAGAAGCGGGACTGGCAAGTCAGCCTAGAGCCTTGAACAAAGTGGAGATACAGGATCTTCTGACGAAGTTCGAGGCGGTCCATGGCATCAAGCTGGAGGACAGGAGTGTGCCTGCCGCATCCACCTTGGAACAGATCTTCGACCAGGTGGAGCAAGGCGAACTGAAGAACATGAGCTTGGTGCAGTTCGTGAGCCGAGAAGACTCGGAGGCTGACGTGTTGGGCGCCACGATTGAGAAGGGTACGGGGGCGCTGAAGGTGAAGAAGGGCTATGGCGAGTGTCCGAAGCCCAGGACGCCCGAGGAGTTTAGACGCCGCATGGCGGTGGTCTCCCACTCGTACCTCTTGGCTCAATTGAAGTTCCCGCAGAAGGCCATCCTGCGGGACTTGCAGCCCATGCACTTTCTGAAGTACCTGGACCTGATGCTTGGTGAGCATGTCCTGGGCCTCAAGGCCAAGAACCAGGACGGAGAGACAGTGGCATCTCCGGAGTTCGATTTGGTCCTCTCCTATGACTTTCAGGCGAGGCGCTCCATGGTCAAGTTGGCGAACGAAGGTCGATTGCTCCACGAGGCCTTGAAGGAGTCCATGCTGGATACAACGATCAAAGAAAGGTACTTCTTGACACCGAATGTCTACTCCCAGGTAGCAGGGCATGCAAGGCAGCCGCCTTGGAGATCCAGGAGCCCACCAACGGAACGTCCATGGGGAGCAGATCGTGGTCGAGACTGGGGCAAGGGCAAAGGCAAGTCCAGAAAGGGCAGTTCGAAAGGCAAAGGCAAGAAGGGAGGCAAACAGCTGCATGACCGCACCCCTGATGGACGTCAGATCTGCTGGCGTTGGAACAATCCCAAGGAAAGGTGCCGCTTCAACTGTGGTCGCCTGCACGTGTGCCAGATTTGCTTCGGTCAGCATCCAATGCACGCGCGCGATGGCAGTGGCAAGAGCAAGGATACCTCTGGGGGAGTCTCAGAGGGAGGAGGAAAGGGCGCCTGACGGCGCGAGAAGGTGGATCCGGCCCCAGATCCGCCGGTGACAGGGGACACAACGAGGGGCACACGTCAAGAGGAGGCCATGAACGTGCTCTACCTCTTCAGTGGAGCACAGAGGAAGTCATCAGTGACATCTGTGCTGCAAGACCTTTGCCAAAACAAAGGGCTTCGATGCAAGGTGCACGAGGTCGATATCCAGAACTCTCCAGACTGGGACTTGACAAAGGGAGCCGTGCAGCAGGCACTTCTTGACAGGATCAAGAAAGGAGAGTTCGATGTGGTCTTGGTGACACCTCCGTGTTCAACTTGGTCACGGGTGAGAGGAGCCAACTGCAGAGGCCCACCAGCGATTCGCTCAAAAGATTATCCGTGGGGGTTTCCATGGCTGTCGTCACGCCACCAGAAGGATGCAGAATTGGGCAACATCCTCATTGTCTTCATGCTGGAGGTGCTTGAGACCTTGGGAGATCACCCAGTGGCCGCTTCCGGCCGAGCGATTATCGTCTTTGGAGAGCACCCTGAGGATCTTGGAGTGATTCGGCGGGAAGAAGACGGCATGATCATGGAGCCGGCTTCCATCTGGCAGCTGCACCGCATGCGAGCCCTTCTCTTTGAGCGTGCAGCCCTGAACCTGTTCACGGTGGTCTTCAATCAGTGTTGCTGGGGGGCACCATACCGCAAGCCTACTCGTCTTATCGCAAACCTCCAGGCATTGCAGCAATGGGGCGCTTGCCAATGGCCAGTCTTCGATGCTTATCGCAACTACGTGGGGCCCATTCTCGAGTGCACCTGTCACCCCACGGTTACACTGGCCAGATCTCGAGAAGACACCACTTTCCGGACATCGAACACCTCCATCTATCCTATGGCTATGGATGCCGCCTTGGCCCAAGCCATCCTGGAGCAATGGGTTCAGGCTCCCCTTCCAGCTAAAGAGGGGGAGGTGGAAGGGAAGCGACAGCACAAGCCGGTGGACCCAGGTGGAGGTAGAGAGAAAGGGCTAAAACGGAAGCTGGCGGAGGTCGACAAGCAAGAGAAGGAGAAGGTGGAGGCGGAGTCTAGCTCGAAGAAGGTGGCCCCAGCTTCTGGACCGCCCATTCAGGTCAGCTACAAGGGTGAAACCAGGGCCCTCCATGATGGAGCAGGTCTTTGCTCTCCTGGTCGATGGCCGGTGGGGAAGAGGAGGTTGCCCGTCACGGAGAGAGAGAGGGCCACGATTTCGTGGTTTGAAGAATCATTCGAGTCCTGGTTGTCGACGATTGGAGCGGACAAGGCGAAGGAGATCTTCTGGTCTATGGCGGCAGGCAAGGTCAAGGAGTCCCCGTTTGGAGAGGAGATGGCGGAGGCAAGAAGGGCCTTAGATGAGCATCTGGGTCGATGGGGCTTGAACCCGTGCCGTGCAGAAGGAGACCGGCAATCGGAGATCAACTTCAGAAGATTGCGGGCACTAGCGGAGGCCCTCGAGGACGAGGATTTCGAGTTCCTGGGCGAGGTAGCCGAGAGGGGAGTCAGGCTCGGGGTGGATTTGGAGATGCCTCGAACTCCTCTGGTCTACGAAGAGAAGACCAAATGGACGGTTGATGCCACAGACGAGGTGATGAGGGACATTCTGGCAGACAACTATGAGTCCGCGGAAGAGAACGCGGAAGACATCGCCAGACAGGTCCTTCAGGAGGTGGAGAACGGCACGATAGTCAGAATGATGGAGCACGAAGCCAAGAGAAGGTTCCGGGGCAGACTGGCAGTTGCAGCCCTAGGTGCAGTGCCTAAAGAGCTCGGTACCAAGAAGGTGAGGCTCATCCACGACGGCACGTACAGCGTGGACGTCAACCGCAGGATCAGGGTGCGGGACAAGATGAGGTTTCCATTGATCGACGACGCCACGGCCGTGTTGAGACAAGTGCAGGCAGAGGTCGACAGAGATCGGGGAGGCATTCGCTTCTCGTTGCTGTACGACATAGCAAGAGCTCACAAGTTGATACCGGTGGATGAGCAGGACTGGGGCCTTCAAGCGTTCAGGTTGCCAGGTGACAAGTCCGGGGACATCTTCGTGCACACGAGGGGCACCTTCGGTGTGGCCAGCGCCGCCTACTGGTTTGGAAGGGTCATTGCAGTGGCCGTGAGGTGCAGTCACCGATTGTTGGGTCGGCGCTTCGGGCTGTTGCATTTGATCTATGCGGATGATGGTTGGCTGGCGGCAGTCGGCAAGGACTTCTGGCGGAGGATGATGATGTGGTTCTTCGTGTACGAGCTCCTTGAGATACCTGTCACTTGGGCGAAGGTCCGAGGAGGCACGGAGGTAAACTGGATTGGCTACTGCTTGAACATCCACACCTACCAGAAGGGGATCAACCTGTCTAAGAGGACGTGGATAGTCAGCTGGATAGAGAACAAGCTGGAGCAGGGCGGTGTGGTTGGAAGAGAGCTGAAGTCGGTGCTGGGGCGACTAAGTTTTGTGGCTGGAGCGCTACGACATGTGAGGCCTTTTCTTGCCCCATTGTTCTCTTGGGCATCAGCTCTCTCGCCGGGGACGTTCTCCAAGCTGCCAGATGCTGTGATCATCCTCTTGGAGTTCGTGAAGGAGGAGGTGCAAAGGAGGCCCATGCGGCCGGCTGAGCCGCTGGAGAAGGATCCAGTGGACATCTTTCGTGTGGATGCCAAGGCTGCAGGGGAGGACATCGTGATCGGCGGCTGGGAGACCGGCGCGGCTCCAGACACGGAGTCTGCGAAGTGGTTCTCCTTCAGGCTGAACCGAAGGGTGGCGCCCTGGGCCTATCTGAAAGGTGACCCCTTTCGGAATATAGCCACCCTTGAGCTGATCGGGGTGTTGGTGGCAGTCATGGTGCTGGCTCCGAGTTCCACTTGGGCAAGCGGAAGTGCAGCCGTGACGTTGACGGCTTTGACTGACAACTTGGCCAACACCCACGTGCTAAGGAGATACGGCTCCAGCCGGTACCCGTTGTCGATCGTGGCTATGGAACTGGCGGTTCAACTGGACATTGTCGGTATCGACTTGCAACTGCAATGGGTGCCTCGGGCGCAAAACCAACCAGCTGACGACCTCACCAATGACAGGTTCGATGATTTTCGAGATCAGAACAGGATTGAGGTAGATTTCGAGAAGCTGCCTTTCAAGGTCATGGACAGGCTTCTCGACAAGGCAGGTCAGCTGGATGCAGAGCTCAGGCTTTTCAAAACCTCGAAGGAGGCCAAGCTGGCGCAGTTGAAAGAAGCTTCGATGGCGGCTGGAGGCAAGAAGAAGAAGGGCGAACTACGGTGGAAAGATCCTTGGTGAGGACGGACGGGAGTTTAAAATTGAATTGTTTAAGAGTTTGAAACCTCCACCGTAGGTCCTTTGTGGTAGTAAGGTTAAGCTGGGAGCAAGGTTGCGCAGACCCATCTTCCAGCTAAAGAAGGGGGAATAGGAATGATAGGTCGCACATGAAACCTCTCTAACTTGAATAGGGAGGCTTGAGTCATGTGTGATACCCCTCTGTCCATCTGCTGAATAAGCAGCAGGTGGTAATACATGGCAGACTCGCGCAACCCCTTGAGGAAAGGCTGCTGTGTGTGCGACAGCGCAGTGACATATATATATTTTTTTGTTTGAATGACCTTTTTTGTCTGTGGTTCGGGGGCCGCGAAGCGCAGTGGGCCCTGACAAGGACACGGCCAATGACGTCCATTCTCCCAAAGATGGATTTTGGTGGTCACATGCTGGATGGCTTCTGGACCAGAAGGTCGGGAGCCAGGGTGGCAGCATGCCCTGGACTGTCAGGGCGTGGCAACAGAGGAGTTGTGTAGCAGCGTAGCAGACATATGAGGGAAGTGGCACCGCATTAAACGGTTAACAACATTGTTTGAAGGGCACCTGGATGCGAGTGGACCGAAGCAATGTCGATGACTTGTCGAAGCAGCAGCCCAGCAGCAGGGAGTGAGAACATCGTACATACAGAGCATTGCTGATATGAAAGAACAAACAGAGATGTGCCTGCTGCATGCTCTAGACTTGATGCGTTGACGAGACTTTCACCGAGGTGGTACTACAGATTTTTGCAGAAAACATATCCATTGCACGTCTGAAGCCCAAATGTATAAGTGGCAAGCACGGAAGGCACCTTTGCCCGGAGAAGCAAAATGTCAATGCACGAGCCCGAGGCAATTGTCCTTCCCATTGTTGGTCTTTATTGCTGGGGAGGCCTGCCATATGCAGGGAGCTGAGCGGTTCACTTACAACACTTCCATAGCTCATTGAGTTGGAGCTCATTTGACACGCTTTGCTCACTGTGTCGTTTATGTTGCTTCCTCTTCCTGGTCAAAGGTCCTTTGGGGATTCTTTGCGCGAGTTGTGTGGACATGGCATGTCACATGGGCAGTGAACTCTGTCAGCCATGTTTGGGGCTTCTCAGTTGCAAGAAACAGCAACTACTACTGTACATTGTTTTGCGGCTTGAGTGATGAATGAGGAACACAGACCGATCGCTTTCTGCTTGAATCGCTTACTGTAGGTTTCCAGGATTGGAACACTGGCGACATTTCGATGAACAACTGGCTGATTGGAATCCTTGCCTTTGGTGTCTGGGCAGGGACCTAGCATGACCTAGGTCCACGGTGTGACTCCTTTGGTTCTTCAAGGAGAATTTGATTCCACCAGTCGACGTTGACCTGTTAGCCTGAAAAGTGCAATCGGGTAGGCGCATGCTTCGAGGTGAGGGCTGGCACAACAATCACCATGCTTTTGAGACATCGTGTCGGCATGGGCTGTCCCTCGGCACTGCGAGCAATGTAGTCTTTGCCTTTCATCCACTTTCTTCCACTTGCAAGCGGGAGAATTCTCTTGAAGGGTGGGGATTTTGCTTGCAAGAAACCGTGCCAGTGCTTCATGACTTCAAAATGCTCTTTTGGATTGAAGCCTTGGGCTTGTCTCACCGACAAATGCGGACCATTTTCAGTGCTTCAAACCAAGGAAATGGTGGCAAGTCGACCAGCTCCAAGTTGAATTTGTTAATGTGCTGTCCCTTTCCTGCACCCAAATCAGACTTCTTTGATGGGTGGGTTCTGAGGATGTGACTTGGTACATCATCAAGCTTTTGGAAACCGTCGGCATTGCATCAGATCTGAAGTATCCGCATCTTGGCCTTGTATGAGTGGATGCGGCACTTTGCTCAATTAACACTTGGAATTTGTTGACTTGATTTTGCGGTAGTGGAAGTGTGGCACGTAAGGACTCAAGCCAAGATGAAGCCGGATACTCAAGCTACAAAGTTGAACATGGCTGTCTTGACATCGTTCGAAGTGTTGCTCATAGGAAGCTGAGCTGGGACAGTGACGAAGCTGCTAGTGCTGCCATCGCTTGAAGAAAGCCTGGGTCTCGGACCAAACTAGAATGGTTTCAAAAAGTGGCTGATCGATATGGATCGATTCAATGTTAGTGTTTGGCAGACAAATGATCAGTACCAATATGTACCAGGTCATTTTAATATACAATATTTCAACTATTTCAACATTTTGTTTGTGTAGATGAGCTGATGATTTGATATCGAATATCGAGCTGGACGGCACAGGCGATGAAAGGCCAAGCATCCACCCATCCGCGACATTTGCAGCGCGAGTGAATCTGGTGGGGAGGGATGTGCTTTGTGAGCTCTGCTTGTGTGCCTTGTCACACACCGAAGCTCCACCAGGGAGCCCCTTCCATCAATTTTCCTTCTCCCTTTGTAGGGCAAATTAGTAAAAACTGCGATGCACTTTGGAGGGATGGTACGGACGCAGTATGTCAAGCGACTCTTGCAAATCCGTGGAACGCCTGTCGACGTTGCCAACCCTGAGCTGAAAAGATGGGAGAAGCAGAAGTTGATGACATAATTGGAAGATCCAAGCTGCTCAATCAAACAAGAAGCCTGTTTTACCAAATTGGTTCATTCTTACTGGAGTTTATAGCTTGGAACTGTCACATCACCATGAGGATGCTTAACTTGGAACATGCCGACGCCAGCCATCAAAGATCACATATCCAGAGGAATGGATGGAGATGATGGATTGTTGGTCAGATCATGACTACCTCACACTTGGCAAGCCACCAGTTTTGTTTGTTTAAAACGCATGAAACGATAAGAATAGGTTGGCACGTCAAGAGCTTGAAGGCAATGCAGCAAGGTACGGTACACACGCTATTTGTTCCGCATTTAGGATGTGTATGGATGTGTAATAGCCAAATCCAGAAGAGGGAAGAATAGATTTAGCTTGGAACTCTAACTGCGATGGAGCAACCGGAAGACGCTGGGGTTTGATGCCAAAGGCGGCAAAGTGGATGACATGTATTGGTGGCAGCAGTTGTTGGTTAGCAGCTCTGAGATTCGTGTCTCTTTGATTTCTTTATTATGTGTTCCTGTGCATCTCCATCTCTTGTTTCTGGAGCCTTGCCCAGAGGCCTCTGGCAGAGGTGGGAAGAGTGGGCAAGACAAAAGGATACAAAAGGTATATATAGGTTGAACCTAAAGTTTCCTAAAAATCTAGGAACCAAATCAATAGTGCGAGCGCTTCTTCAAGGAAGCTTCTCCCGCCGCCTTTAGGGCGGCGGGGGCTTCCTTGAAGAAGCGTGAGCTATCCTGCGTCCATACTAGTAGCTACCTAGTAGCTAGCTACCTCTAGCTACTAAGCTACTAGCTACCTACCTCTACTAGCGGCCTACCCCCCCAAAAAAAGAAAAAGCCAGACATTGTCCAGGGAATGCGTTCCAAGAGGCTGGGCATGTTTGGTCGTTGTCTCAGAAATGAAACGAGCAACTGAGACTCTCACACTACCGTTTGACTTATTCACGACGAGGCTCTCGGGAGTCAAGGATGCATTGATGCTACATCAATGTATCTACTTTTTGGCTCGTTCTGAGACTATCAGATTTAGGACTAGAGATACGCGCGTCGAAAATTTCCCAGCTTGGTTGCTAGCTTGGCCTGAGTCAGGACGCTGCAATGTTTTGTACTCAATGGAGTGATTTTCTTGGGCAGGTGCAGCTTTAAATTTAGATTTGTATATGCAAACTGCACAAGCTCGTCTTTGTGGCACTGATGTGGAAGTGACATGATGTTTGCCAGTATTTTGCTCTTCAATTTCGCTGTGGAGCCGGCCAAAGACTCAGTCTTGCTAGAAAAGAGCACAGACGGTCATAGGGATAGGCATCAAAAAGAATTGCTTGGCATAGAGATTGGCATCAACCCGATATTGATAGGTATCAAACGAGTGTTTTGGAGTAGGTAGTCTCTTGTTCCCCTGGTCTCTTGGTCCCTGGGCAAAAGCCAGAGCGGTCAGAGACGACAACCGCAACAATAACAACGGCAGAAGCCGACAAGAAAAGAACAACCTTCTAGGAAGCTAGTAGTAATAAGTGCCACGCTAGTAGTAACAAGTGCCTTACTAGTAGTAACAAAAAAGTTATTAGAATTGTGTGCTCATGGGGGAGGTAGCCCCCACCCCCCCCCATCGCGTGAACTCTATTTTCCTGCTTGCAACAAAATCTGATGTTATGGGGAGCTCCATTGCACGCTACAGCCCACCACAGGAAACAAAACGTCATGCGCCATAGAGGATTGCTTGCGGGTAAAATTTTGACCAGGACTTGGAAGGAGAACATTTGGAGCAATACAGTAGATTCGATCTTAGGCATCTTTTGTTCACCCGAAGGCAAACTTCAGAGCAGGAGGGAGCCATTGCAAACCCAGGTTCCTCCTGTAAGCAACCCACACCTTTAGAATCTAAACAGATCCACACTGAGAACCCCAAAGTGTTGTAGGCAACATTCAATGACCCTTACATTTCCAACATGCTGCAAATAGTAGCAAGTCTGACACTCAGAAAGTGACTCAGAAACCAAGAGTGCTGCAAATATCAGCAGGTCAGGAAAGTTTTTTTTATGTCTTTCCGTGTTTTCTTGATCTCCTCAAGCAGTTTGTTTGATTCCTATCAATTGGTTTGATCCCTCGACCCAGTGGTATGCAGGAGACACATTTGACAGACAAACACTTGGAAAGATCTGCGTTGTATTGAAAACTATGGATGTGCCTTTGTTTGATCCCGAAGAATGAATCAACGAGTTATGGCCAATTGGAGTAGCTCCTGGCGCACCACTCATGTCGCCTGGTCAGTCTGCATGATTTGTGTGTTTGTCTCTGTGTGTGTGTGTGTCAAGCCCTGTTTCTAAGGGTTCCCTTCTATCCTTTTGTCCTTTTTCAAGCAGGGGGCAGTGATCCCTTCAGCAGTCACTGCCTAACAAAGACACTGCTGATCGGATGTGATATTCGGAGAGGACGCTATCTGAACGTACCTGCTGAGGTTTTCCACAAGCTGTTACCCCACTTTTCCACCTTTTGATGCATGGTTCTTCATGATACTTCCCTCAAACCTTCTCTTCTGCCGGTTTTTCTGCAGCTGAGCCGCGTCGATGTTCGCCACCGCAGACATGTCAACAGACTGTTCAAACCACACAAGTGCGCGGACCCTCTCACCTTTCCGTTCCCTCGCCATTTTCCTGGGAATTGAGCTAACTGAAAACCAATGTCAGAGTGTGAACCGCTCAGTCGTCCCACTTGGGTGCTGGGTGTGATCCTCCGCAAGGAGGCGCCGCTTCCATTCCGGAATTCGTGTAACTGCTTTCATCGTTTCCACCATGCCTCGGATTTTCTTAACCGACTTAGTTTCACTACTGAATCAACTGCCACTAAGCCGCCGGGCATCACGGATTGTCCGCTTGAGTTGCTTGAATTCACCTTCACGTCTTTGCAGCTTGGTTCTTCACGTTCAGCATGTACAGTTTCCCACTTTCCACCATAACCATGAGTTGTGTCTGTCATCAGTCATGTTCTATTTTACCATCGTGAGCTTTTCAACTGCAGGCAGCTTTCTCCACCTCATGTTAATGTTTTTCCTTGTATCTCTTTCTCTCTACTTGCGGCCTCACTGCGGGGGCGCCATTTTGCTGCTGCTTTGGCCGGCATTCAAAACAGTTTCCATTGCAATGCAATACCCGTGGCCGTTTCCATATTCACCGCAACCTCAACCCCACACAACGACGCCTTTCTATCCAGTTCCACAACAAGGACCTCCAGTGCTGCCACATTTCCCGCAACCAACCATACCACCACTGCCGACATGGCCGCTTACTGCCCCACTTCAGGTACAATCGACACATTTGCCACCTCCACCTTCTCATCCCACCTTTCCAATCACCTGCACCTTACCTCCACCAGAGCCCATGATCCTGTCCACTTCTTCTCCAACAACCTCTTCTCCATCAGCACCTGCTCTACCACAACCAGCTCCAGTCCCTATCACCGCCCAACCACCCCACACCACTCACCTCCACTCTCACATGGGACCCCCATCAGGGGGTCTGGCAGCAGCAACCCTTCTCAGCCCTTCCACCAGTTTCGCAACCTGGTCAACTGACCACTACAGACAAAGATCCACCTCCCCCAGAACCTTCTACACCCATTGAGGCTCCAATACCCATTGCCGCGGCACCACCGATGCCGCCACCACCATCACCAGCCTCCACAGCCCCTTCAATTCCCTCTGCAGCTGTCACAGCAGCCGCAAATGACCAACCCTCCACGCTGCTCCTACTGAACAGAACATGTGTCGGTCCAGGGGCCGACGCACACACCGTACACCACGCAGCACCCACCACCACAAATCATCACGACATCGACGCTCTCCTTCCTCGTCCTACTATTCCCACTCCCACAGTCCATCACCCTCTCGCAGCCGCTCACGACCAGCCATCTCCCTGCTCCCCAACACAGACTTTTGACAGCAGGATTCTACCTCCAGCCGTCGCAGTCCACACAGTCCCCAACAGATGGCAAGCTCCACCACATTTTCATCACAAAACTCCACAAGAGCAACTCGAGATTTGGATGGACTACCATGCTGACCAGTTCGATACACCCAACAAACCTCACCACACTTACATCGCTCGCATCTTGCTCGACAGCGGCCTCACTTACAACGATGTGTGCGACTACCACCAATTCACTCACATCAAATGGGATGATACCACCAACCAATACGACCTTTTCCACTTCAACCACATTTCCATTCCCTCCTTGTCACAAAAGGCACACCGCCGTTTCCCACCTGCTGCCACTCGAGCCACTTCCACTTCACCTGAAATTGTTCATATCCACGCCAGTCACACCGGTCCAGTCGGCAACATCACCAGCATTCTACAACAAGGCAGACTTCTCCCCAGCACACTACACTTCTCCCACAACCCGGGTTTCTTTGCGCAAGGCGTGCGCATTACCCAACAACTCCAACATGACACCAGTGAACAAGCCCGCATCTTTTACAACGCTTGGAACATGGCCAAAAACACTCACTCAGTCCTGCTATCCCTTGCAGCGTGGCGAGCAGGCACCAAATTTACCCGCGGCGGTGAAGAACATGCCATGACTCTGCTCCAACAAAGCCACAGAGCGGTATTCCATGCCAATGCCAGGTGTTGGGTGATCCACCCTCACAACGCCATCGTCAAGGGCCTCGTTTGGTCCGCCAATGCCACACCACCAGAAACATAACAGCCCACTACAACAACCCTTCTCAACTTCCTACCTTCACCTTGCCAGCAGCGGTCACCTTCTCACCTTTTGTTTCGCACCATACCACACGCTCCAGGAAAATTCGAGCACTGCGTGTTTCTTGCTGACGCACCTAATTCAGACCACTGCGCGGAGATCACTTTCACGCTACTTTTCCTAGTCAGGTTATAGCTTCTGTTTTTCGATGAATCTTCTAGACTCTGCAGGCCTCTTTGTCGATTTTTCGGGACGTTAATTTTCTCGCTTGACCTTTGTGATTCATTGCATAGCTTGAATCAGATTTTTCGGTCTCATGATTGCTCCATAATTCACGATGCACGTGCCCCGGATTTTCCGCATCATGCCAGCCGCGCTGACCCTGCAGCCGCTGCCGCTGTCCTGGCTGACGACCTTTCTCAACAGATGGAAAGAAATACGCAGCATCCCAATTTGCCCACCGAACTACAGTGGCTCTTACACAACTTGACTGCCGTCTCGTCGAGTTAAAGACAGATCCACAGCTGCGTCCAAACTGGACCTATGTAGCCCGGCGAGTCGGCTTTTCTGTCGAACAATGCAAAGCTCGTTGGCAAGAGATCCAAAGTTGGCAAGAACAAGACATCCACACTCACCCACCGAACCCCACACTCGCTCCTCCTCCCTCACCTTCTCATACCCCCACTTCACCAGAAAACACGCCTCCAGCGCAATCTCCTCGGCAAATCTCAGAACCAGACTTTTCTTCTTCTCCTCCCCCCTCACAACACTTCACATTCCACAGCTCTGGTCTCCCCTACTGCAGCTGCGCGGCCGAACAATGAGGACAGTCATCCGGAACCTGCAGCGGACCATCTCATCGGTAGCTATTTTGTTTGAGCATGTTTCACCCCAGCTTCGTCGGCACGCTTCAGAAGAATCTTACGCTGATTCCATTTAACGTCATTTAACGTCTTTGCAATCACCTTGCTTTTAGAGTCCATTTTTTCAGCTGCGCAAGTTTCTTTGGCGCGTCGCATGGCTCATTTCCTTGCATTTGGGAATCCGCCCCTTAGCCGATGACGACACCGAGCACCTCGACTCACCACCTCAGCCCGCATCAGAACCCACTCCAGCAACAGCCTTTCAGCAACAACACACCGACCTTCAGCCACCTGCTACCGCGCACTAACCTACCAGGCAATCCACCTCCTCACCTCGCTCCATCCATCACTCACCAACCCGAACTCTTGCTCCTAAGCTGGATGTTTGACACACTTTACATGCTTGTCGCCCGCATCCTGGAACATCCCATTGCAGCAGGCCCCATACCTGATCCAAGCTCCTTCGCTGACAGCAATGCTTACCACCTTTTCTACCAGTTCCACCGCGGCGCTGCTCTCGCCTGTTGACTCTGCATCGTCGGCCAGCAGCTGCCAAACAGTATCAACATGCAACACCTTTTCCACCTCCACCGTGCCCTTTCCACCCTGATCCACCAGACACAGTACATTGAACGCGCCGAGGCCATCTTTTCCACCGGCCTCATCCACATCACACTTCTCTTCACCTACCCCTCCTCGACACAGCGTTCCCAACAATGGCGCAAGCGATTTCGCCAGCTCCACATCCTACCTCACACTTACCACTACCACAACTTTCTCTCCTCCAACTCTGTCTACATCAAGCTCCAATTCAACATCCATGAACCTCACCGTTGTTACCACCAACATGGCCATTTCTACGTTGGCTCCACAGCCATTGGCATCCCCCACCGAGAACACAATCGTCGTGCCAAACTCAAACAACTTCACAACAACGTCCCCGTTTCAGCCGAACTTTCCTTACGCTATTGGCACTCCCACAACAACGATCAAGCCTGGATCCATGAGCGCAACCGCATTTCAAATTGGATGGCGCCCCTCAACCGGCCCTTCATCTCACAGCATCTCACACTCAAGGCCCACGGATGGCAATTCACCAAACATCGATCTCACTTCTACTCCCGCCTGGCCACCCACAAAAGAGGCTCTTCCGCCGCCTCCGCAGACGACAACAAACACTCAGCGAACCACACCTCTTCACGTCCAGCAAACACCATGCTCTTACCCTTCTACGCGATCTCACAAAACACACCTCAGCCTCCTTTGAAGCGGCCAAACAACTCCGCAGCGGCCGCCACACAGACCTTGAAGTCTACGCCATACGCCGAATGGCCGCAAATTTGGAAGAACCAGGCCGCAGCCGGGCACCACGCATTATCAACAAAGCCCTCCAGTACCTCACCCCACCAAAGCCGAACGTTCCACTTACCATACCCTTTCTGGCGCACGACGACTTTACAAAACATTGCCAGCAGTGGCTGCGTACCACCATCCAGCAACACAAACACCTCGCCATCCCACTGCACCTTCCCACCCACCGCCTCCGTGAAGCCGCCCACAAGACCCTCCGGGCGCAACTCCACAACCACCGAACCTGGGAAGGCACTCTGCACACCTCCGGACTCCTCTGATCTCCCGTGTGCCTGCTCCCATCTTCGCACGCTTCTTCTCCAGCCAGACACACCTACCACCAACGAGCACTACTCTCCCCTTAACCACCGTAGAAACAGCAAATGGATTATATTTTTTATTTTTTCATGTTAGTGGACCTGTCCCGAATTGTCGTTGCACGGGCTGTCAGTTTCTTTGTTAGTTGTTGTTTGTCGAGTTTCCATGTTAGTGAGCCCTGGACTTGTTTTTGTCACGGTAGAAGCTGAGAGCTCCATTTTAGATTATTTCCATGTTAGTGAGCTCTGGACTTGTGGAGTTCACTCCCATTCTTTAATGGTCGGCCCACCTTGCCATTCTAGATTCAATACAGTGACCAATATGGTTACCGGTTACCGATGGCTGTCAGGGGCTGGGCACACTACGCAGGAGCTCCCAAACCTACGGAGCAAATGCAAACATGTTCAAGAGGCTAACTTAGCACTCGGCGCATGATTTCATGTTGGCTTTGGGGTCTCCACAGATAGTGGCCTGTTTCACCAAGAAACCGGACAGGCCCGAGAGGCGGAAAATGAGCTAACATTGCAATGCTCAGGATGTGTTATTTCTTTTTTAATGTTCCTTTTCAAAGGAACCGCAACTTCAAAACGCTACCCTAGAAGCCAGTGTAATTAATCCCTTCCACCTATTAAAAAACACGAGGGCCCACCCCCCCCCAATAAGGAAACCTCGGTCGCATTTTTTTCTAATAGGGGGTCCCTGAAATCGGGGGGCCCAAAATAGGGTCACCTGGAAAGAGTTTCAAACCAAAAAATAATCCATGAAAACTATATATAAAATCCGTTATTAAACTCGTATCAAAAATGCCAAAAAACCTCCAGGTCGAAGGGTCTTCCTTTTCCCCCGCAAAAACCTTCATTAGAATAGTGATTCTTCAGTGGACTAACAGCTAAAGCTTTCGAAAGGTGATGTCGCTGTGCCACGCGGTGTTGCATGACCTCGGTGGCAAGTGCGTTTGCGTGAGTCCGTGCCATTGGGGGAAGGGAAGCCTGCTGATGCAAGCGCGGCGTGTCATGGTGGATAGACAGGGCGGACAGTGGTGGGCAGTTACGGTTGATGTTTAAATAGGTACTCGGGATTACCAATTCTTCAAGCTGCCTCAGTTTGAGCTAACCTGGCAATTTTCAGGATGAAATTTTTATATATTCCCTGCAAGGAACTACAGCTTCAACACGCTAACCTAGAAACCAGTGAAATGACCAATTCCT